ATAGTACACCGATCAACTGCAGCACTCAAATTCTATAAAGAAAATCTAACGTCGAATTTTGGTTTAATCGCTGTTTTCGTGAAAGTAGCCTTAGAAATTACAAAAAGAGCTCAGCATCGCGTTTGAACTGAGATTCACATGTTTGCATGTTTTTCGAAAATTGCGCAAGTCTACTTGCGTTTAGCCGATTGTATATAAGGGTCATTTGCAAAGTGAATGAGTGATAAAACCTTTCCGGAAACATCCAAAAAGTAGCAAATTTGTCAGTTCATGCATAATCTATACCCTTTTTGAAGAAATTCCAAGATATCTCTAAATTCCTCTCATAGATTTCTGAGAACCTTCCCATAACGGAAGATAAGCACCCAAAATATGCGCAGCGTAAAGCATTTCCAAAGTTCAGGTCGATGAGGGCTGAAATTCGACTTACAGCTAAAACTATCGTGACGTCATAGTTACATGATATTTACTCCGATCGCCCAAAAAATAATATCATAATAAAGTTTAGTCGGTGTGTAATACATGTGTTATAATGGTTTTACCATAAAGATCAATTTGTTTAAGTGTGAGAGATTCAAGGATGGAAGGTGTCACTACAAAACTGTCGTGTCGAGCCACCTTAAAGTATATATAAAATAATGAACCAACAAAAGGAAGACACAGGACGGAAAAAATTAAACACGACAGACATTAGACAAATGGACCCAATAAATCAGTAAAGTGATGAAATACAACTCTAAATATTATATAACTAATGACAACAAGAACCCCTACAATCCTTACCCTGAGCCTGCCATCCCTCTGTGCTGCACCTCCATCAGCCATGCGCAGAACAAATATAGGTAAATTCAGCTCTCTTCCTCCTCTGATACTAAATCCGTACCCAGTCTCCCTATCTCGATCCAGTTCTACAACCATTGTCTGATTAAAAGAAATTCGCTCATCTCTCACATTACCCGTGTAATCCTGAGAAGGTAGGGGTGGTCTTGATGGTATTTCAGGGTTTGATCGTCTGCGCATGTCATTTCTGGCTACATGAAAATCATTTTCTTGCCTTCTCTTTTCTTCTTTTGCCTTCAGCACTTTTTCTCTGGAAGGCTTGGGGGCGACTCGAGGCGGTACTTTAGGCGGTGGTTGTGAGTTGTAGCTGTGATGCATTCTGGGAAGGGTTGCTACATAACGTGGCTCCTCCTTTGCACGGTCGGTAACAGTCTGGTAACAAAGAAGAAACGATGATCGCGAGCGCAACAAGCCACCAAGCACAACGGAATAAACTGAATTTAGTCTGCCCTTATAGTAAGTAAAAATGCTTATGAATATTTTGACTAAATTCGACAGAAACGGATAACGAGTAAGAATTAAATGCAATATTACGCACACGTCTATACAATAAAACAAACAACAACTTCTTGAAGGGTGAGAGAAGAGAAGAAAAAAAATTAAATTTGTTTGGAAGCAGAGGAGTTATATTTGATCTTGATTTCGGTTACATTCGTGGCGCATAGGAAAGAAAATGAGAGTCCATTAGAAACAATAAGTCATACCTGTTCCGGATATGCATTATCCCAACTTCGCTGGTCAGCGTCTCTTCTGGGGTATGTTTCACTACCCATTCTAGAGATGTCTGGAGCACTCTAAGGAAGACAACAAGAAACAGGTTGCAATTTGACATAAAGGTGCGGGAAAACAGGCGACAAAAACGTGCAATTTTCTTTGCAAAATTGCTGAAAAGTGAGTTGAAAAGCGATGTTGCGAGTTTTACCACCCACGTGCAAACCTGTTTTGCAACAAATCAGGTTACAGGTTGCCAAAACGCTGCTACAGAAAGTAGAGAGTAGTTTTACTTTTTGCAACAAAATTTGTACATGTTGCGCATTTTACAGCCCCAAGGCAAACTTGTCTTCCCTGTACGGCGTGACTCCGCGTAATTGTATCCAATCAGAAGTCAGTATTAATGCAACTTGCAGCAACCTTTATTTCTTGCAAGAAAGGTTTGAAGGTGGGTGTTAAAACGCGCAACATCGCGCAGCAGCAATGTCGAAAAACAAGTCGCATGATTTTGTTGCCCTTTTGCCGTGGCTTAACATCAGCCAAAAAAAAAATAGAAACAACAAAAGCAAAAAATATAATTAGGAGCAAGGTTGGCACGGTTGGTTAGTGAGTGGCCTCCTTTTTGTGTAACTATAAGTAGCTTTAAATACCCTTAAAACGGAGCATTGATGGTAAAATGAGCGCAACGTCCACCTAACTTTATCGGTTAAATTACTGTCACGAGTTATCGACGTAAAATACCTTTTAATCAAATTTAATGACATGAGAGAGTGCCGCCAGTTGACTTACCATTCGAGATAATTTCTTTGTTTCAAAGTTATCTGCGCAAAAAAAAAATCAAAGAAAAAAAAAGATAGGCTTAAGTTAACAACAGCTTAGGGTTAAAGACTTTTCGTAAAATTATACCATTAGCATAATTAGTGCAAGTGCAAATAGCACTCGTGCGAAATACATTGACACGCGAATAAAATTCGTTTTTCATCTTCGAGTAAATAAGCAAGTTAATTCTATGTTTAGCAGCATTCGGTATTTAGACATGGCAACTATAGGAAACTGGAATTTCAACATTCAAGTAGGACTTCGTCATCTTAAACAACAAATATACTTTTATATTTACCCAATGGGCGCTGTTGAGCGATTCTGAGCGTAACGGTTCTTCCAGACCGTTTAATGGTATCCACTATGTCACTATGGTGAACTCCTACAATGCTGACGTCATTCACGGCCACGAGTCGATCGCCTACATGAAGCTGGCGGCATCGGTCGGCTGGACTGCCTTGAATAATACGTCCTGTAACGGAGAAGGTTGCGTTACTAAAATAAGAATTACGTGACAGGGATAGCGGTAAACTTATAGATCGTTTCACAAGACATCACGACAGGCATATTGGTGTACAAAACAATGAAATGGCGGCCATGTTGGTGTACCAAAAAAATACTGAATTCTTTCCTCATATCAACCTTTCACTTCGCTTCAAGAAATTTGAATAGCTGCTGATCACGTGAGTGAAAACGGTCTATACTCCCTCCTCATCAAGGGGCCTACTTAGTGGTCTTTTTTCACTTCTCCCCTACCGATTCAGGGGATGCATTTGTCTACCTCTTGTTCACTGACAAAAGTTAATATTACAAATAGTAAACCATGGAGTTGACTATTAGGATTTGTGTGTAACAGGTAAATTTCAGGACTTTCACGAGCCCGGTTAAAGGATTTTACAACCCTTTACAAAATAACGTTCAGCCAAAATGAACGAAACGTAATTCAGTTTGTAGGCTGAGCGAGTAAAGTACACTGACCTGTCCACCTTAGGTTAGTATCATCTTATTCGATCTAATCTTTTAAGTAATTTAAGTTGTATTATTCTATTTTTTTCCTGTATCTTAGTTTATATTATAGTTGAGTTTGTAAATTCGTGTCTTTCCTCTAAAGTTATGTCTACTCAAATTGCTCCTGGACCGTGCAACCCATATAAGCCCCAGGCTTCCAGTTCAGGCTTCCCCGTCACCATCTTTTTTCTTCTTAATTTTATCTAAATTCTACAACCTGTAAAGTGACAAAAACAAATAACTATAATCAATCAACCTCATGAATTCTTACCTATTGTCGAACCGCTCTTGTGTACCGAAGAGAAGATTACAAAACCAAACGACTCGTTTTCCTCTCGTTCTAGAGTAATATCACGGTAGGAGACTGGGCCCTTGGGTTCACCATTTACATCACCCTCACTAACTCGTCTATTCCTTTGACTCTGTGGCCTCACATCAGAGGGAAGCATTTCTGAATGATAGCTTCGAACAGAAGACGTTTCTTCAGGGTCGTTGAATGATATTCTGCCATATTGTTGCAGGTTGCCTGTGGATTTAGACGCCTCCTTGGCTTTGATTCCTCCTAAAGCAGCTTCGGGACCAAGATCAGATGAGGCTGAGTATGAACGGCGCATGCTCGGATTCATCTCTGTTTTAACATTATAAAATAATATATATACAATTAACACTATCATTTCTATACGAGAAAATCAAGAAACCATTACAACTACTGCTCCTGTTTGCCCGGGATAAGTGCCACCGTAGTTAGAACTATGGTGTTACGATTTATCCAAGGAGAACACGACGCCAGATGCGTCTTATTTTCCCTCATATAAACGGCATTAGTTAATGTATTTTGCATTGAGTGGTTCTTATAGTCTCACTCTAATTAACGTTCATTTGCCTTATTTGTATTCCATTTGAAACTTCTTCAGTTTTGTCCATCCGTGCCTTTTTTTACATTTGCTGTCAGGTGCGGATCTAGCCTGGGGATAAATACTGATCGATTTCCTAAACGAGCGTCGAGGGCGCAAGCTTCTAGACAGGTCCGGGGGGATGCACCCCACTAAAATATTTTTGATTTCAACTCCCTTAAGCCACCTTTCCTGGGTTTCTGAGTCATTCATTAATTTTAATTTTTTTTCATTAAAAATATATTTATTTATGAAAAATCTGACCGATTTTCGTGAAAGGCGGAAACTGTTGTGGATCCGCGCCTGGCTGTGTTATTTAAAGATTCCTCCACTTTTTTTCATGTTTCACTTCGTGGCTAGTCCCTGATGATTGAATTTGCCCAGATTGCATGGCAAAGTTAAGGGAAAGCACTGATTCAGAACTTTATTGACTTACTTGCTACTTTGGCTGGGTCTCTGTGAATACCAAGAGTGACCTCACCAGTAAGAGCAGCATTACCCATGAGTGATATAACACGGCGGTGAGTTGAGCCTATCACACTGATGCCATCAACATAGTGAATCTCATCTCCCCTCTGTAATTGCCCACTCACATCCGCAGGTCCACCCCTGACAATTGTACCTATAGCCACCTGATTCCAAAAAAACAGAATTTTAAGCCTACACATATCCTTATTAGTGGTCTTTGTATGAGGGGACTACCATAATAAACAGTGATAGAGAAGAGAAGTGTGGCGTCACAAAAAAATGTAAAATTGTGAAACTATGGGATTGGCTAGCATGCTCAGAAAGAATAAGATGAAAAATACTCCCTTACAAAAAATCAGCCCTTCAGAGTTTCTACTTTAATGAGGTATTACAGCTGCTAAATACCTTTATTAATTTTCGGTTCGAAAGGGTTTTACGTTTTCCCATAAAGGACGCTTGAATTTCAAAGGTTTTGCGTGATGCGGCATTTTAGCTGGCGCCAGGGAAAGCTCTTATGTGGGTTAAAAACGTTACCGATTTTTTGAGATTTTGACACCTTAACATTCCTTACCTTGACCCAGAATTAATATTGCTTTAACCTTTATGAGTTCCTCAAGTGATAAATCCACGCTTTTGTAGGAAAACTCAAAGACAGATGTTTCGTTGGTTTTTGGCCGCAATATTTGTGCCCCTCAAAAGGGACACCAACATGGTGTCTCCATACAAAGCTTTGTAAATTTGGGTAAAATATTTCCCGAATATCTCGCATGTCATATCGCACAGACCTGATTTTTGGCGAGGCTTTTGCATATTTATCTTCTTTCATTTCCCAGATTCTGGACGTTCTGTTTTGACTGGTTTCCAATTTTTTAATTTTTGATGGCGTGATACCGTGCGAGCAAAGGTTTCTCTCTTGCATGGCTTTTAGCGTTTACGAAGTCACTCGCGTGACTTGAAGGTCGCGTAGTTAGTTTGTTTACGTTCGTAAACGCTGAAAGCCATACAAGAGAAAAACCTCTGTTTGCAAGGTAATGGTATGACAGTGACAACAGATAATTAAAGGGGAGATATAGGCAACGTTATGCTCTACCGACTCCATACAAATCCCTTAAAAATCCTTGGAGCATAACGGTTCCTTTATCTCTACACCAATTTGTACTAACAAGCTCATTTTAGCAGGGCTACATTTCTCATCTGGTTTTTTCTGGATATGCAAACCTATCCTATAATTTCACAAATTTAGTGTTTGTGAGCTGATCAGTTCTCTCGAGGTCGAGGCCGATAACACTTAATGGGACCTTATCTAAATATTACAAAAGCCAAATGTGATAATAATTGCTGAATAAACAACGGTTTGAAGAAGGTGATGACACATTTAACACGTTGTCCGTTAAAAAGAACAGTCTCTTGGAAATCATGCCTTTTGTGCTCAATCTACATATTAGTTAGACGCTAGCAGATACATGTAACTGACAGCAGTTATCGGCTAGCTGATAATCTGTAGGTTAAACTCACTACCAGCGACGAGCAGATCAATTATTGAAGGCTTCGGCAAATAATTGATCTGCAAGACACTGGCAAATCACGCTATTTTGCGACAACCGAGATCAATGATTGTTTTATCATCTGATCACCAAGTTTGTTTTCTAATTAATATCTTCAGGAAGCGAAGCGATTTGCCATTTTTCCCGCCAGAAGGAGAAAAGCGTGGTTTCCTTTAAGCTTGAGCAGAATATTATTTTGCAGCCAACACAGTTAGACGACCTTATGTATGAGAAGACCATTATTTGTGGGCAGTTATTTGCAGGTCACTTGGTGGACTTTCGGCCAATGAAAAGGAAGAAAAATTTGTATGGAATGATAATGCTGGTTAAGCAGGCTAATCAACACAAACTCAAAGGTTTGATGTTGGGACAAATAACTGAAAGGACGAGTTTGTATAACCACTAAAGTTGGCAGAGAATATTACAATTTTGTACTTTTCAGTATTACCGCTTCTAAAATAAGATGAATTAGCTAGGGTTTCCCACTCCAGTTTAAAATAAGTCCTCCCCTTCTCTAATAAGCCATTGCTGGAAAATGGCTTGCAGATAACATTAATTTCTGATACCTGCGTATTTTCTTCCTGACCACCAATAATCCGGAAACCAAATCCCATATCTCCCCTCTTAAGATTGACAGTAAAGTTTTTAGCATCTGGACTGGCTGGGGGAGGTGGTGTATCAGGAGCTGCCAAGTTTTCCATTGATCTGAAGAATAATAATAAAGGAAAAGTAAGAAACCATGCAAGCTACAAGGTCAAGCTTATGCCATCACTGTCACAACACTTGCATATAAAATTTAAGAGTTTAAGAATCTGAAGCTAGCATCTTGGACAAAGTACTGATGTCTTTCCTTTGCAGATCAAGCAGCAAGGTTTCAATAGCCAAGTAGTGGGAGTCAAAATTTCTTAAGCACAGACATTCCTAGTGAGGTGGGTATCCAAGCCTATAAGGTGAACAACCTTCTTAGGTGGACTCTGGCATCAGGTTTGTCAAACACTCCTGCAAGGTGGACATCCCTCCCACATTCACATCCCCCAAGGGGCACAACTCTGTATGATAGGCACCCCTGTAGTCAAGTGCACATGACTGATATGACACCCCTGAAAGGGGTCACACCCTGTTAGGTGAACAACTGTATTTCAGCCACCTTTTAAAAATGGACGCTCCTGTCAAATGTACAAATCAATCTGGAAGGTGGACATCTCTGTCAGTTGTACAATTCTGTTTGATAGACACCCACAAATCTGTATGGTAGACACCCCTGTAATGTTCACACCTTTGCCAGGTGCAAATACAGTGTATCTGTAGGCTAGAAACCCTTTAAAGGTGGACACTCCTGTCAGGTGTATAACTCAATATAATAGACAAGGTGGACATCTCTGTCAGGCACACACCTCTTTGACGGACACCCCTACAAGATTTGTTTGTTTGACAGACACCGTTGCCAGGTGCACACCTCTGTATGGTAGACATATTCTGCAAGGTGGACACTTCTAACAGGTATAGACATCTGTATGACAGAGACCCCTGTAAAGTGGACACCCCTGCCAGGTTCACAACCCTGGAAGGTGGACATCTCTGTCACGCACACACATCTCTTTGATGGACATCCTTGCAGGATTCGTTTGTTTGACAGAAACCTCTGCCAGGTGCACACCTCTGTATGATAAACATCCCCTGCAAGGTGGACACTTCTTTCAGGTATAGACATCTGTATGACAGAGACCCCTGTAAAGTGGACACCCCTGCCAGGTTCACACCTCTTCATGACAGACACTCTTAAATGGTGGGCATAAATCTCTCAAAGAAAGTCATATTGCCCTGTTTACACCGAGTAGGAAGCGATTTCACAACTGAAGAAAAAATAAAATCAAACCTTCTAGCAGCATTAGCAACAGCTTTCCTCAGTGATGGATATGAATTGAACAATGCCTCAGAGTTTTTGTCCAGCATGGGCTGTGCTATTTTTCTGTTCTCATACCCAGTTTCTTGGTTTCTTGTACTCTCTCCAGCAGTTGCTAAGTTACCAGTGCTTCCATGATCCACCTGACCATACCCAACATGGTTTGAGCCCATGATAGGGGTGGACTTGGGTCGTGCTACACGTGGGGCAATGGGTTCCAAATCCTATTAAATTTGAAATAAAATTATTCATCAGTTTTTTTTCTGTATTGTTTCATTCTTGACCCATTCCCTACTTAACCACCCATAAACCCCTTTTTGGATCCTTGTTTCTCATGCCACTTTTGATATCATTACTTTAAATGGTCATAGACAACTTTCATTTCATAGACAACTTTCAGTCTATGCTTGATTTCTGTACATTGTGGAATCTTTCAAACCATACCTGAATAAACATGATTTCATGAAAAGGCCAGAGAAAAAACATTTAAAATTATAAAAGTAAATTGGACCAGAAATTGAACAATCTTGTCACAATTCCCACCTATGCTTCCTTCAAAAAATAATTTCACAATCCTCAAAGTATTTGTGGAAACTTTTACCCCCAAAATGAAGCCTAATAAGTTAGTTTGCTTGAGCGCTACAATCGGTGACAAAATAGTTGAGACTTGTACTCAAATAGGGCAACTTCAGAGAACAAAAGAATCCGCACCCCTCCCCTGCCCCCTCCATAATGGGGTGTTTGTTGTTTCCTGTAGGTAGCTTGAACATCGTTTTCAACTCATTTTGTCGCCGATTGTCTGAATCAAAATCTCCAGTTTGGGGTGAAGTGTCTCAACTCATTTTGTCGCTGATTGTAGCTATGACAAACTGAAGCCTAGTAAAAGCCAGCAAAAGAAAACAGAATGGGGAATATAAGCAGAAAAAAGAGAGCAATGAGAAGAGAGTGTGATTAAAAGGCAAAAGTCAAGGGAACAGTGTCACTTAACCTGAAAAGTATCACCAGGAACTAAAGGAAGCATGGTGCTCGACTTGAAAATAACTTTCTGCAGGCATTTTAGGCATCTTACTGATGAACAGTTGCGACCCGTAGATATACATTTTTTAGCAACTAAGATAATTTGCAGTCTATCTACTTTGAATTATTTTTGTCAAGGGTTTGAGGGGGAAAGGTTCTCCGTCACAAGACCAAATTTGCTAGTCTTACTGCGCTTTTCACAAACATGTGAACTCTAAAGTTCAAAAGCGGCCTTCACAATTGCGTTTTTCGCTGCCGTCAATCATAATTACGATCACAAGCAATGAACCTGGAAACACAGAAACACAAAACAGATCGAAATCCACTAATCACAAATCACAAACCTTGACCTTTTGAACCCGTTAAAGTAAAGTTTTGTTTCCTAAGAGGTCTGTTAAGATGATTGACGGCAGCGAAAAATGCAATCATCAGTTGGCTTTTGAACTTCAGAATTCACATGTTTGTGAAAAGAACAGTAAAATAAATTCGGACAATTACATTATAGAAAAACAGTTATTAAATCTGCTCAGTTACCTTCTTTGCAAACAAGGGACTGTTTCTAAGTGGTGTTGGCAATCCTAGAGTTAGATAAATGATGGCAAAGGTCAAGGCTAATTTGAACGTTTAACATGACTTCTATAGCCACTTTCAGTTTGGAATTTTTATACCTTCATTACCCACATTCAAGTTATGGCTTGCAATGTTATTTTTTCAGAAAACGCATTGTATATCACTCTGTACATGTACATGTCAGGGCTCTCCTGGATGGTTTGTATTCAGAAAGTGACCCCAAGGTGTGAAGACATTAAAGGGTTTAGATGAGGTTTGACATTAATTACTGTGGACGAAGACAACCAATCTCAGAAGGCCTGGGTTGTTGGTTTTGAATTGGGAAAGGGTTTGGCCCAATCGGATCTTTTCAGATTAAAGGTTCCCTACACTAACTAGTACAATAAATTTTGTAGCTGCTTCTGAGCAATGGCCATTGAAATATTTCTGTGAAAACCTTTACACAGGTGTGTATGATCTTCTGTAAATATAGAGTGCCTACCTCCTCTCTGTACAACAATATGAGCTTGTTGTCCTTTAGGACATTCTTTGAGGATATTGACGGCCTCATTGTGTGTACAACTCCGGATCATTCGGCCATTAATTTCCATTAAGATGTCACCTTCGAGAAGTCCTGTACAGCGGGGAGCATCTAGGATCTGCTTCACCTTTTGACCATACGGGCTGTCTGCGATAGTGAAGCCAAATCCCATGGGACCCTTCACCACAGGGATTGTGAGAATCTCAGCTGGATATGAGCGTGGAAGGGAATTTGTTGTTGATGTGCGAGGCAAAGTTGATTGATAGGATGATGGAGCAAATGAAGTTTCTAGGGTTTCTACAAAAGAGATTCAATGACGTGAAGTCAAACTTGGAGTCATTAGAATAGGTGTTAAATGTTTGTACATATAAACACAACTGTGTGATCTTTATTCCCGCCTTGCAAGCGAGCCTGAAGTGAGGTGCAAGGCAGCAGACCTCATCCGTAGAGGGAAAAATATTTTCGATTTCTACCCATGACAGATCTGGATTTTAACCACAATGCACTTTTTTTTCCACAATGCCTTACACACAATGCCTTGACCTCGCAATACCATCATACTTAACGTGTTTTGTACTGTTCCTTGTGCCAGCGAAAATGTAGTGTATTTTAAATGATATTCAAGTGCAGAATGTCAGACACTCAGGACATGAAGTATTTTAAATTGTGCGCGTTAGCTGAATGTGAAAGTAATGCAAACATGATTTGGCAATACAAATTGACAACAAGGTAGCACTCTTTTACTTATTAGGTGTAGTGACTAGTCAATAATCAAATGAAAACCAATCAGAATTGCTCTTCATTGTTTTATGTAGTTAAATGAAATTTAACACCGTTAACGAGGAGGTCAGCAGTTAGTGCGGTGGCTCAAGTGCAGTTTGCCTTGCTTGCATCATCTCCATGTACTTAGTACAGCATTTCCTGAATGCCAATCTCTTTGTTTAGCCTTTGGATAATTCTTTTACCATTTGATTCTCGCTGTTCTGCTGCTCGGTCAACTCTTTTCTTTCTTTGTTATCTTGGGCTACGCTTGGCTTCTGAGCAATTGTTGTTACCTTGCAACTTTGGCAGTCTTAACGGCACATTTGACTTTCGACTTGGTGTTTGGCCATCATTGTTTTGCTTGCGAGTTTACTTCTAATCAACTATTTCAAGGTTTGAAGGTCCTACAATAGCTTGGTTTAGCACTCACATCCACTTCTGGTTTTCAAGTTTTAGGTGGGGTTACACTGTGATTTCAACTTTGGGTTTACATGCTTTTGTCTCAAGCTGGCTGTCACTCATGATCAGTGGTTGTGTGGTTGGGAATTTTCCACCATTGCATTAGGGTCGCTTTGTTTCTGTGTCATCATTTCTTCTGGTTTTGTCAATTCACCTCGTTTACTTCAAGGCAAGTGTAGTTGGCCTTTAGCAACGTTTAAAAAGTTTTCTCCATGAGTGGTTATACTCTCAAGTGTAGGTTCACATGGAAAGTTATTGCTTCATCACAGCCAAGAGGATCAAATTGAGTGGTTTTCTGTGGTGGTTGCATTAGCGTGCAGAGGTTTGAAGTTGTCAACCTAGCAAGTGTCACTTGCATGGATCATTGCTGCTTCATCACAGCCATGAGAATCAAATTGAGTTTTTGTAGTGGTTGTGTTAGCGTGAAGCAGTTTGAAGTGGTTGTTTTAGCATTCCATCCCCCTCATCCTCAGTCTCCTTTCACTGGTTCATCATGCTTCAGTGTGACGGGTGCCTGGAAAGGGAGGCCATGGCTGGCTTGCAGGGATTTGCCTGCAGCCATTGGAGAGGATCTAGGGGCTGGTTGGTCATAGTGGAGGCCCCTGGATACCCCAGGCACACACATTCCTTTTAGTAGTTAAAAGTAAATAGTTCCAGAATCTTTTAGCATTTGTTTGTTTGTAAGAATACAACTACTGGTATTGGCTTTTTTAGTGTCTTTTATAGCACTTGTAGTTTTTCTGTGGAGCATTGGGGTGCTGTACAGTTGTAGCATTGTTTGCACCTTGTGTAGCCTTTATAGGGCATTGGAGCTGGATGGTTGCAGCATTTTCTAAACACTTATGGGGTGTTAGGGTTGAAATTGTGCAGTGGTTACAGCTTTAGTAGCATTGAAGGGGTGTTAGGGTTGGACATCCGTGGTGGTTACAGCATTTGTAGCATTTATGGGGTGTATAGGGGCTGGAAGTTTGCAGTGGTTACAGCATTTGCAGTGCTTACATGTACAAGGCATTGCAGTTGGACATCCATGGTGGTTACAGAATTTGTAGTGTTTATGGGGCGTTGGGGTTGGACGCTTTCAGTGTTAACAGGATATGTAGCATTTATGGAGTGTTGGTGTCGGACGTTTGCAGTGGTTACAGAATTTGTAGCATTTATAGAGCTTTGGGGTTGGACGTTTGTGGTGGTTACAGCTTTGGTAGTGTTTTATGAGGTGTTAGGGTTGGACGTTTGTGGTGGTTACAGCATTTGTAGCATTTATGGGGCATTGGGGTTGGATGCTTGTGGTGTTTGAAGAATTTGTAGGATGTGTAGTGTTTTTGGGCCATTAAGGCGGAAAGTTTTTGTAGTGTTTATGGGGCTTTATGGCTAAACGGTTGGGACTGCCTTCGGCTCAGTGTAACCATCACTTAGTGTTGAGTTCTTATACTTAGGTTTTTGTTTCAGTATGGCTGTTTGCCTGTTTGCATACAGTGAATTAGCATTTGGCATTTTAAATTTTGATATTGGCTTTTGTTTTTGCTCCTGAAACCCTGTGTCTTATTTGAAGTTTGTTCGTGTAACTGCCTCCGCCTCTTAGCACTTGGCTTCTGTTTAGCCATTCTATGTTTTTCACATGCTCAGCATACGTGGGTGCCTCCAGGATTGGCATGTACGGGATCAGGCTTCTTCCAGCTACGAGCCCCTTCTCTCGGAGCTTGGTGCTCAGCTCGGAGGTCCCTTTGGCATGGCGTGGGGGCTCATGGCTGAAGAGCACAGGTTTACCAGCCATGGGGGCATAACTCTGTCTAGGGGCTGGCTTTCCCAAAAGTGGAAGCCTCTGGGCATTCCGGGAACCCACCTCCACTAGGAGTTCCAGTTGTTAATAAGTCTAAAATAAAGATTTATGTCTTTGCAAGTGAAACAAGGTTATCATCAGGAGTGAGGTTTGATATCAATAATAGAGAGATTTGTACCAGTACGAGCAACTTTCAGCAGACCTTGTTACAGGGAATTTTACTGCTTATAAAGAGAGTGTCTATTTTAGGTAGGTACTAACAAAGTAGAAGTGAGTGTAAACTATTAAATGTGTAATACCTGGAGCAGTACTCCATTTATTGATCATCCCTGGCACTTGAGATGTAGAATAGGGTGGGAATGTTGGACTGTTCTCTTCTGAAGATCGGGGCATGGGTGATTCTGAGCCAGCAGAGGGCCTACGCTGTACCACAGTGTAGGAACCAATTGTCTCCACATTAGGATCATCGGGGTCAAAAGGCAAAGGGTAACCTCTGATAACTTCTAGCTCAACAGACTCGCCCATAGGCATGGCCTGGAACATGCTGACAACATCTTGATGGTTTTTGGATAACACGGACATTCCATTAACTCTCACTAGTGCATCTCCAGTTCGTAACTGACCATCTTTTGCTGCAGCGCCATCAGGAACAATACTTTTAACCTGTAGAAGCTCACCAACCTGATCTCCACCAACTATGGTAAAGCCAAACCCACGTTTGCCTTTGTGAAGCTCCGTTCTTAACAGTTCACCTTGGAGCTGTCTACCATCAATAGTGTAAGACCTTGAAGGGTGGTCATAGCTATTTAAAGTGTAGGCTGGGGGAGGTGCCTGGGAAAACTCTACATTGGGCCATCTGCAAATAATAAAGCAGATAAACAAAATGTAATTTTCCAGACTTTTAAGATGGGAGCTACAAAATAATTTGATACTTATCATGCAAATGTTCAATACTTGGCAAGATAATACCATGTTTAAATTTCACATGAAAGGTGATATTGCACAAATTGTCAAGCAGTTATATCGATATTGACAGTGCAACCGATTGTATCATTTCTAAAGTCTCGTTTTATTTTCAAATCCTCAATCCATCTTTATTCTAAATACATTGTATTAAAAGCAGCATATTTGTTAGCTTTGAAACACTAGGTCTGAAAATGAATAAGTATGTGTTCAAAAAAATGGTGATGAGTGAAATAAGGAAGTGATTTCACGCCCAAGTTGTCTAAATTCTAAAAATTTTCCGAGCGTAAGGGTTCGGGAAATTATTGGAAAAATGCAAGGGAAATTATTCCCTAATTTCAAGAGTACAGTAGAACCTCGATTTAATGAAGTGCCAAGAGACTGGGGAAATTTGTTCATTTTCTTATATAGAGGGTTCGTTATATCGAACGCCTTGATTTAACGAATTTTTGAAAAAACAACCAAAATGTCCGTTATATTGAGGTATAATAAATTAATTTACAAAATCCAGCATTTCAAGATCTGAACAATGTCTCAGTACTCAGCTGTAAGTAGCTGCATGTATGGCACTAGAAACTCAGTCAAAGGGTGCCCATGGCTAACTTGTGGATTAATTATTTTCAAAAATGAAAGCTGATAATGAACTTGCAATTAGTCTACCATTTCTTTTCCATACATTTTTCTGTAATTTTGGCAGGGCTGAAGAAAATCATCTGTTATACCAAGGACTTGGTTGAATTGTAGAGAGGTTTAAATCGAGGTTCCACTGTATACCATTTGATTACCTATTATTATCATGGCTGACAATTCAAATTCCACACGCAATCTTGGGTTTTTGACGTTTTAAACTCTTGACACCATCTTGGCACTGAGATGTACGAAACGTTGCCACGGCAATTTTGTAATTGTACATGTGAAATTATAAATTAACACTGGAACAATTCGTCACCCACGATATAATAATGATAATAATAATAATAAAAATAATAACAGGGTTGCCACTCATGAACCAGAAAGTTAAAAATTCCCTGACTTTTCCCTGACTTTTCGCTGACCTTTTATTAACGAATAACAATCTATGTTTACATTCACTTTAGCTTTTTGCGGGCCATCAATATTTTTCTCTTCATTTTTAACCTCTTTCTGCTTTTTGCAGAAAGAGGAAGAAGGAATTTGGAAGAATTCACAACAAAAACCACTGACCACAACTGCTACATGTGTCAGGCATAATTAAGTGTCAAATTGATCTCTTTGCTTGCTTTGCAGCATACGTTTCATCTTTTCTGTAAGGAAGTGCATTTCAAAGTCTTAACGAACACTTGTGAACTATAAACCGGAAAACAGAATTCCTTGACTTTTCACTGACTTTTTAAAAAATTCCTTGACTTTTCCCTGACCTTGAAAAGTTCTTGTTTTTCCCTAAATTTTCCCAGACAGTGGCAGCCATGAATAATAATAATAATAATAATAATAATAATAATAACAGTGATAATAATGATAATAATATTTTTCTGTCTCTCTTATACTGACAACCATACATCTAACTTAACTTAAAGTAAAGAGAAATGACACTATTAATCAAAGATATCACCTTGATTGGGCCTCAGCTTCCTGTGCTTTAGCTAATGCAGCTGCTGACTGTAAAGATGGTGGGCCCACATGGGGAGGTGGCACTGAGGAGGAGTATGATGATATGCTGTTCGTTTGACTAACACGCCGACGTGCTTGCACTGGATTTTCAAACTGAGTCTTCCTGTTGACATGACTAAAGGAACAACCAAATTAATAGCTTAAAATACATTAATTAATAGAGGGGAGAAGTCTTTACGTCACATTGCCATGGTAGGAAAATTTCTGGATGACAACAAAGCGAAAATGTCACTTAAAAAGTGAATTCACACTGTTTCAAACTTCATTGATCTTACTCAATTTCATTTAATTTGTAAAACCTTGGCGAAATTGTCTGGGGTTGAATACAAAAGGACCGTATCTGAATTTAGAAAAAGAAAAAGAAAATTCCTGTGCTGTGTTCATTGACTCAATAAGGCAGGCACATGAAATTAGGAAGTTTCAAGGTGCAGACTTGCAACAGCGACTGAGAAATGTACAAAAAAGTTTTGCTGATATGAACTGATTGCTTTTTCACCATTCTTGTCATGGTCACCGTCGTTGCTGCTTAAGCTCCCCATGGTTGTGATCCAGAAATATGTTGCTACCATGGAAATGTGACATCACACTTCTCCTCTCTATTAGGTAATTATTAATGCCAAATAAACAGATTAGGGTAATTTTTTTTTCAGTGCTTCACAGTGTTTACACTGAATCTAAAGAAATGTCATTTAAGTTTCCTTTCAGTTTCTCATAGGAGTGAAGGTGGGTGCCTGGGGTATATATCCTGCAGGGGGCTTTCACTGTGTTCAGCCAGAGGCCCCCTCCCCTAGATTGAATACTGCCCCAATAATGAGCAAATCCTCCAACCCATGAGCCAACATTCCAGGTACCTGTTATGGTCATTACCAGCAAAAGGAGAAATAGAGGGTGGAGTGGGGTAGGGTAGGTTTTTTTATGGCTGCTGAACACAGTTTGATTGGCTGTGGATCATTGCTATTAATGTTACTAGGGTTTTCACATTTGGCATGGACAAATTTTATAGTCGACTCCCGATAACTCAAACCCTCGCTAACTTGAACCTCATGCTAACTCGAACCAAACTTGATTTCCCTTGGATTTCCTTCATACATTTGCTGTACAATGTAATTGTACCCTTGGTAACTCCAACCTCCTGCTAACTCAGAGCATTCCTCCCCCATCCCATTTCCTTACATCTGGTTATTTGCTTTAAACTTCCTATAACTCGAAATGTTTGTGATTTCCCTTGAGGGTTCAACTTATCAGAAGTCAACTGTATTTATAAGACATGACATTTATTAGGTTAAAAGTGAGATATAGATCATTGTCATGGCAACATGGATGATTGAAAGCATTGGCCTAAAATTTTGAATTCACTTGGTTTATGCAAAAATTTATCCAGTGACTAGATTTTCTTATCAATTTGTACACAGCTTACGATAAGTAACCATCATTTTTTTGCAGAAACCAAATGACCAAACTATAACAAACAGTTTTTGAAATTTTTAAGAAAATTGCTTTCAAGGAATTCTTGACTGTGTTACAAGTTACAAAACACAATCATTCAAAATTTATTTTGAGGCTTTCATTGGCTTAAGTGTAATAATGAACATGATTTCTGCTAAACTTTGTCAAATTTCAATGAGTAGATTTTAAGATATTGTTGTTTATTTATATTGCTTAGGAAAGTCAACAAAACAAGCACTCTCACATTGCTTCCTAAGTATGCATGCATAGCACCTGTACATGCTTAGACAGGTCACGTGAGATTTCAAAGACAACAAAAACATGATAAATTTCTCTTTAACTTCTTCTTAGCATGTCTTCGCACTTTTTTTAACCTTATTGGGTGCATACTTCATCATGATAAGGACGTTAAAATGCACAGTAAAGGGTTAAATCAGCTAGTTCTAAAGAAACTGTGTTAAGCCACCTTAAAACAACCGCTGGAAAACCCAATCACACCTTTAAACAACTGTTTAACACATTAAGCTATGGAAAAAGTTTGAGAACATGGAGAAGTACAAGTAATTGTCCACTGACTGGAAAAGTCTGCTAAACTTGTAGTGATAAACTTTTAATACTAAATTGTAATTTAAACTTATTTAAAGAAATTAAAACATGCACCGCTGAAAATAAGAAAAGTCTGTCAAAATGTACTGTTTTGCCTATATTATTTTTGTACTTACTCAATGTAGTAGGTTCCGTATTTAGGATCATCAATCCTTTCCCAGCCATAGGGTAACTCTGCCATAAACAAATGACAACAATTAGTAGCTGGAGTGATTCCATAGTATAAAACAATCATGTGGAAAACTTCAAATGAAAGCTATATTTTCTCTATATTTGTCTCATTGGTTATTATTATTGGAAAGCTGGAAAATAACATTACTGTGATTTTGCCTTCACATTTTTGCCCTTATTTTTTTAAAAACAAAATGTACATAATGTACGTTGAACGGGCTGTGTGTGGGAGTTTGAATTTTGTTCGTTTACCATCATCATCGCATTCATCAACTGTAGCTTTTTTCAATTGCGCCAGTCTTGGATCCATCCATTGTGTTGTGCCAGTGTTATGGCTAGAAACAGAGGCAACAATCATACATTACAACATAACCAGTAAATTAAACACATCTAAGTATCTAAAAATGCAAAATGATACACTGCATTTACAGGGCGACCTAAAGTATTGGGTGGTAACTACCTTTTTGTCTGTCAATGCTCATTTAGTTAACACCAGGGTACTTTTTAAGTGTTTCACTTTTTTATTCGGCCTGGTGCTTACATTTACAGGTCAGAATTAAATTCAGGTTTAAGGTGGCTCGATATAGTTTTTCAAGGTCAATACCTCCCAAGTTTGAGCGTAAACTGCGTCGCCATAAACAAGGATTTGGAAAAATTGACACCACAGTTGTATTAGATAAAGAAGAAGACTGGTTATGATCAGGGTTGCAATGACATCAGAGTTGTCATAGCAATGAAATGACGACATTAACTGTTTTACTTGCAGCAGTATTTCTCGGCACTGGGAACTGTTCTTCCAAAATTGTTTACTGGAGCTTTTCCCCAAGATAGCTGCCTCGATGTTCGTGAAATTTAAGCTAAATCTGTAAGAGAGTTATCGAGATATTTTGGGACGAAGTTTTTCTGGTTAGAAATACGGTAAAAAATTGACAATCTTGATGTTCGACTGTTATCTGTACTAAACGAAGCGCTTTTGACATTCAATTTCACCTCATAGTAGGGTGCCAGTAAGGATGCCACTTTGAGAAACAAACATAACAGCTCTTTAACAAATTGAAAGGAAAAAATGAACAATTATAATAATTTGCTATTCTGGGACAAGAAAATGGGACATGGGACATATTTTGCACCTGCACATCAATCACGCTTTTTTGCACAACTTACTCAATAAAATACTTGACATTATCTTCAGTGTAGGCAATCTCCCAGTTTGATGGTAGTTGTCCTAAGTTTTCTGGCTCTGGTAGTGTGTCATCAAAGTGATTACTTTCTCGATCATTCTGCAATGAACTTGAGTTCCTAGGTGGCACATATATCAGGTTGCCTGGTGGAAGTGGATCTCTTGGTGGTTTTGGAGTACCATAGTGGTTTCCTCCATAAATTCCACTCTCCAGCAAAGCCCCACTTCTCTCCAGTTCTTCAAACTCCTCAACCGTGAGGAAGACATAATCTTCACCTGGTATTTCATCACTCCTTGGTTTCCGTGTCGTACCTTTTAAAAAGTGGAAAATCAATGACAAACAAAATCATTCACAGTATTTCAATCACAATTACACTGTACATGAGAGAAATGAGAAGAGTGCATTTCTCTAAAATTTTTAAGAAATCAGTATTTAGTAAAATGGCAATAGCAATTTACAATTTCACTCTTCTGCTGGCTCTTAATTCCCAGCCTTTAAAAACCTAACCTATAAAATAATATTAGCTTGATGATGGATTGAATTTAACACCAGAACCTTTGCAAATACCTTATCACTGCTGACATCTTGCTTTATGTCCCAGTTTAGCCTATTCCAGGCATTCAGATAGTTCAATACAGACAACAAATTGAGCAAGCCATAAAAACAAATAGAGGGAGATTGAGAAGAGTGATAAAGGAATGCCTTGGTTTTCAAAAGCTGTGATTGGCGCATTTCAATAATTATTATTGCCATTTCAGTGAGTTGTTCCTTGGACTATTCATTGTCATGCAGCTCACCTGTTGTTGTGTTTTGTAATTGTGGAATTTCGGTTCTTGTGTATCCTTGTTGATGTTGTCAAGGTAAAGACTTATGTGAATCACCTTTTTGACCAGGGCTGTGTGTTTACCAATAAGACTCGCACGCCATTAACTAAATTTTACTTCATTACAAAGTGGGTGATGTCTGGTGGGGTGGCAACTGGTTCTGAGATAGCAGAGGTCAGGGTACAGTGAATCACATACTATCAAAAAGGCAATTTACATAAGATTTCACCCTAAGAAATTCAAAAGGGGCACAAAAACATGCACAGATACCCAAAAAATAAATCAAGAGACACATTACATAGAGGAGAGCTGTATGACATCACCCCAGTAAGGGAACAACTCATTGAAACAGTGAGGTTCAAAATGCACCAATCACAGCTGTCCTGTTGAAAACTAACCATTTACAGTGAAGCATCCTGCCTTATAACATGATTCATGACAGTTGAAATATTCTGATCTAAATCACAAATGACTTAATGTACATCATTTAATGATAATTATTTATAATTACTATTTATAATATTGTACTTCACCAGGATGAATAAATAAAATGTTTAATAAACTTACATGGTATTGTTCTGTTATAAAGATTATCTCTGATAGTTTGCTGTAAGTTGCTATCAACTGAATCCTTCTCAAACCTTGTTGACAGGTACTTTTGAAGGTCTCTGGTGATATGTTCCCCTGCAAGTACAGAAAAAGATCTTTAAGGAAGGCATTTCATCAAGAGGAACATTTGTTTTAGAGGCCAACAAAAACTTATTTCCTTGATGTTATCCAAGGCAAGTATTAAAAATAGATGTATTCAATAATTGTTAGAATAGTGGCAACCCACTCTTACGCTCTTGCCAGCACAGAATACTAATAATTTTTGTGGTCATGATCAATATTATCATGTACCTTATTATCATGATCACCTGTCACAGGCAGAACAACAAATTATGTTGTAAGGAATTCTATACTCCTGTTTTAGTACAAACACAGACTTAGTTGATTATAGGTTAAAGTGTTTACATTACACTTTTTTACTGTTCTAAGTAAACAAACAGTTAAACAGACAATTTTTTTAGCATCTCAAATGGCATAGATGTGTAAGATCAGAAGTTTAGCCAAGTGATGGACATGTTCATTAGTCATCATCCATCCTGTTGCATTCTTAGGTCATGAGCCACTTCCATGAGAAACTGCGAACTATTTCAAAAGTTATTCCAGATGAGCTAATGGATGTATTTTTAAGCATGTATGATGTACTTTCAGTAAGTAAAAATAAACTGATTAGCAAACAACACTGCAATTCTTGCAGAGAGAACTCGTATATTATAATGTGCAGTGTATTAAGGATGGGTGGCTAAGGAATTAATATTCAAAAATGTTTTAAGACAGGATTTGAAGGATTGCTAGCAATATCATAACTTAAAAATAAATTAAACATTATTATCAAATGATGCTCTAAATTTTGAAAGGGGCCAAAAATGCTGAATTTACTTTATGATCAAAAAGTGGAAATTGCTATTCAAGGTCATTGAATGATACCACTATGTAACATCCGTTGGATTTAAACTCACCATCCTTTACAAGAATACAATATGTATCATCTTGGATAAGATTAGAAACAACTTCAATGACCCAAATTATATCAGGCCCAATTAATCCCCCAGAAATTTGAAATCACCTTATGATGGCTTATGATCATATAGGCCCCATAAAATTTTGAAGGTAGTTATTAACTGCGAAATGACAGATTTACACTATATAGGCTCGGCTATTTTCGACTAAAAGATGCAAACTGGTGTAAAATTCAGATAAAATCAATATTCTCGGCATTCCTGTCGCGTGAATCATTCAATCAGCAAGATATTTAAACTGGCATTCCAATTATTTATTTATTTTTTTACATAAGTTTGTCTAAGTGTTTCCAGCATTTAAACCCGCTACATAAATTACGGCCAGTGATATACACAAGCTGAATTTATCGTAGTCGTGGCTGATACTTGTATAGTATTATGCAGTTAACTTACGATAGTCAACGCAAACACTTTATCGTACCTGGTTTTACGGTTCGTAGAGTAACTGCTTCTCTCGAACTTTTGATCAAAGGCAAGACATCAAATTGAGTATACCCAGCGACTGGTGCCCCATTTATTTCCAATACTACATCTCCTGGGAGAATCTTTCCCCTTCTGTACCGCAATTTTTCCTGTTTAACGTCTCCAATACAAATAAACTCCCCATTCTCGGCTCCTCCAACGATATGAAGATTAAAGTTCCCATTCCTAGGTCCACGCTGGATCACGCATTCAAGAACATTGTACGACCAGTGTTTTCCTTTACGGGGCAAAGAATTCCTTAAGTTAGGGAGGCTAGACATTCCCGGGCAATCAATCAACTTGATTTGCGGAGTAAAGCATCTCAAACTCTCTTGCCACCATCGGACATCAGAATTATAAACAGTGACTCACTGACGCTGAAAACCGTCGGGACTACGCATGCCCAACTGGGCTAATAAATATGTAAATCCACATCCTCATGCAAATCATAAAAGGAACATTTCTTTTTCTCACCTTCCTATTTCTCGTTTACACGATAAGAACTTTTACAATAATACAAAATACATATTTTGTGACGAACACATTCTTCAAAAATAATTTTCCATGTGCAGCCTTCAATCTGAACCTCCGATTACTACTTCATTTAAAAAACATTATGCGTAGCACTAGCCTCCCACGCAGGCGTTTCTAGGGATTCTAGGGTCCCGTAAAAACCCCTGCGTGGTCATTCTCGTCCCCAGAGCCCGTCGTTTCTTGGTCACGTGGTAGGGAAACGAGCCGAGTGGCTCTGGATGCGTGAAGGTAGGAAGGCTACTGCACAGTCAATGAACAAAAAGATGAACTGGGTGGGAGGAGCGCGGTAAGTTTGATTTTACGCGAAAACAAAAAAAACAAAAAAAAACTAAGGAACCTCCAAAAACATGCAGAAAATCAAAAAAGAATTCTTCGAAACGTCGACTTGGAAATTTGTACTTTTCATATAGTGATTTACTTCGCACGTAGCAGACGGTATATATTTTGCGCTTATAAAAATTCTGTGCAGATCGACCACAAGGGGCACTGGGGTGAAAATCCCATCTGTAACTTTCGTTTATTAAAAAAGGGTTTATCCCTTTGAATGGGGGCCGTTAAAAAAAACTTCTTTGGTGATAACTGTTTAAGTTTTTCGCCTCCACTTTAAACGATCTTTAAGACTCCTAGGTCATTCTTATGAAAAGTGAAACTAAATTTTGAAACTTGCTGTGGATATCCAGCGGTTTTTTGGGCCCAAATTAGTGTAAAATGTATTTTGAAGAAAAATAATCTTTTCCTGGGAAATTCCCCAGGTGACCAAGAAAAATATCAGTAACAGCTTTACATCTTGAGTTGTTTCATAACTCATGTCTCTCTCCAGTCCCTGATTCATCCAAACTATGGCTGAATTATCTATATAACTTTAACATAAGTCTATAAATAAGCTTATATTCCTTTCACAGGAACCGACTGAAGCTTAAACATGAAAACAAGTTGCAAAAGGTGAAAAAAGTTAATACTCATAAAAATATCGGCCATGAAAATATCGTACTCAGTGTTTGTACTTCCTGGGGGTTAGAAAAAAAAACTTGTGGGAGGATTGCCCAGTAAAAATGTTGGGATTACTTGTATGAGAACTTCTAAAAATACCCTCAACATTTTATGAGTGTGGATCAATTCTCTTTCACCCAGCTCAAAAAGATGCTGTCCTGTTTTTCCATATTTTTACTTTTTACAGATGATGTTGTTTTTCATTAATTTTCACCAAATAGGAATTTTTTGAAAGAAAACGGCAACAAAAAAACAATGTCAGATCCACTGCACCAAGGGAAGTGAAGAAGTTAAAGGCACGAAGCCAGGATCTTTTCTCACTGGAAGTTATTGTGTCAGCACACAGAAGTGCAGAGAAAACAGGTGGGAATACAGCATGGATTGCTGATAACTTTGTTGACAGTAGTTGATGACCAATATCAGTTCCTAGAAAAATGACAGATTGCTTCTCTTATACAGCACCACCACTTTCTGTACACCAATATATGCTATTTGTACTGTTTAGGTGGTACTGAGGCAAGTTCTTCTTGGAAAAAAGGTCATGCTGGTCATAAGAATTCTAGAGTGCCGGGTGTTCTGACAAAACAGCATAGACAACACAGTATTCCAGAGCTTTCTCCAATTAGACCCCAGATTGACATCCAACAGGCATGTTTAAATAATTCAATCAGTAGTGTGAAATGAAAGAACACTTGTTGATTAAGAAGTTGCCCCCACCCAACTTTATTTTAGACCACAAAATTGTGGTATTAGAGAACTGCTGCTATTCACATGTGTATGAGTGTATAAGAAAAGAGGAAATGTTCCCTTTGGAATGTCACATGACCTACTATGGGGCTAGTCTCAGCCTGCCTAGCAGGCATCAAAAGGTATTGGGGATTGGATGGAAAGGAAAAGGGAGGGGGATTGGGGATAGAGGGTGTGCCTGCCATGCAGGCTACCATGGGGCAAAATAAGCCATGCTATATGTAGCTGTAGAAATTAAAGTACTGTTCAGGGTCTTCTAACAAAGAGTTTGTGGACTAATCCAAACAATGTGTTTGATTTATCTGCATTCAGTCACGGCAGCTAAAACAGGGCAATTTCTGTTTATCAGAAAAGAAGGGAGCATTTCATCAACAATTATGATGAGTCACTAGGAACACAAGCAGACAAGAAAACACTCAGTAGAAAATTTCTCACAGAGGAGGATCAATGTGGTTGGCCTATGGAAAACTACCAGTAGAGTTGAACATGGCAATACTTATACTGAACAGGCTGGATGTTGATCTCTGTGGTTTATTGTGAATATAATGAATGTATTAATCTGTAAATTTTTGGGGTATAATTGCAGATGACCATGAATTATTGCTGTTATTAATAATTTTGTTGACAGGTCCTTTTTGAAAACTATATATAATGGATGGAAAATTTGAAAGAAATAAAACATTAAAAGAAACTACAAATAACAATATGAATGATTTCAAAATGATTTCATTTAATAGTTATGTTGTGGCACTTCTCTGGTAGATTTGTCATTTTTTGATCTGCCCATTTTACAGTGTATGAATCCTTTGACCGATAGAAACGCTGTTAACAATGTTAATTGAGGCAATTAAGTTAAGTTGCAAAGCCGGATTTTTCATCAACCTTGGTTGAGCCTTGACTTGACTAATGCCAAAAAACATACAACTCTTCCTCAAAGTTGTTCACTTAAACATTTTTATTGTCAGATTTTCAAACATCCTGAAGCCAGTCAAAGAAAACTCAAGTACACCACATTTTCTTAATTCACTTCTTGAGGCTCGGATATCTTGACAAAATACTCTTTCCAAATTTTTATATTGTTTGCTGAATATACATCTAATTGCAAACATGTTGTCACACAAAAGAACAAAAAACAAATAGGGCCAAAAAGGAATTAATTAGCCATACAAATTACATTTTGATAATCTTGAAAACACTTTTGCAGGAGAATATAATACTTCATTTTGATGTCAGTTGAATTGAAAGAAGGTATATTGCCCATTGTTATTCATTCTTTCCGTGAGACCAGATTCCTGAATGAGGTGAGCATGCCTAATTTATAATGACTTAAATATGACCCTTTTTAATTCCTTTGTTTTTCATTTTTCTGTGACAATGTTATTGCAATTAGGTGTAAAAACAATTTAATTTCTCTCATAATTTGAATTTTGCAATATTTTTAGCAAGTGTTTATTTTTCAAATACCCATTAAAATCCATTGATCATCAATGGCCTGCATAATATCCACATTAAAAGATGTATTGATACTTTGAATAACAGAATAAACTGTCTACAATGATTCTCTTTTCCACAGAAAATTACCAGTACATTCCATTTTACCATTTCGATAATTGTGTAACTTTACCACCCACAAATCCAATAAAACGGGCTATAATGTTTACATTCACCAGGCAGAGCATAAAATACTAAAATTAGTAAAAATATAGCTCCTTACATTTTCTAAAATTTTTATAAGAGTAACAGTCAGCCATTTGAAGAACCAACTCGCAGTGATAAAATATTTTGTTTTGAAATCTTCTGGCACATAAAAATATCATTTTTTAGAAATTAAAACCCTTTTGGCAAACTCATTGCTTACTCTAACAACTCTAAAAAGCACAAATCAAAGAGCTTCATTTGAAGCAGCTGAATTCTAAATTTTGCAGTTCTGGAAGGTCTCTTGGTGACAAATAAGTTATACACGTGTGACTGGTTTTGCTCGGTTAGATTTTCCTCCCTTTCTTGTGTAAGCGCGCAGCCTTTCACGTGCAATCTCAAACTCTTCAAGTCTCTGAGTCAGGTCTATTTTCTGGTGAATTGCTTGTTTGAGAAGATGATTAAGAGTTTTCTTTTCCTCCTCTGACGCTGCAAATTTACGTTGCAACTCATCAACTTGCACCAAATATTCTTCACACCTTGCAGCATACATCCCACGGAGTGATGCAAATGTAGAAACCTCAGCCTTCAAAGCCTTGAGGCTCCGCTTCAGTTGAGCAACTGTTTCTGCCTGAACTGCCTTGTCATTCTCATAACGACTCTTAAGATTTGCCAAAGCTACTTCATATGTGGACTTATTAGCTTTTAGAACAGTACGCAGAGTTGTAATCTGTTCTCGCTTAGTTGTCAAAAGGCTTTGGAGCTTTATAATTTGTTGTTTCTGTGCTTCACCTTCCTCACCTCCACTTGTTTCATCATCACTCAGTAATACCCTATATTCTGATGCACGTTGTTTGGAAATCTCAACTGTCTTCTCCACAGCTTGTCTCAAGAACTTCACTTGATCTCGCACAGAACTTATTAATCTGTAACAGGAATAAGGATCACCTCTTTCCACTGTTTCATTTGGGTTCTCACTGCCCATTGGGGACTGACGGACTTCAGCAGCACTTTTTTGGGTGTCACTGGATTTTACAGGACTTGTGTTAATATTTTCATCCATCTTTGATTTATCTTGCTTTTCTCTCCTTGAGAATGAGTTAGTTGGATGATCGCCATTAGCAGAACATACGTGATTGTACAGCCTCTGAAGATCTTCACTGACATATTTCAGCTCATCTTGAGTACAGTTGAGACTTCCTTGTGCATTTCCTGCCAATTCACTCATGGACTTTATATCTTCCTGGAGATTTTTTATCAACTCCTCTGATTCAATCCCTTTGTTTTTCAAAGTCAAGAGCTCTTCTTCTAAATCTTTCACCCTCTTTGTCAAGAATGAGGCCTCATCTGCTTTTGTTTGCATGCCAACTATTTT